GACGTGAGATGGAGGGGCCCCGGAGTAATAGCGAGGGCCTCGGACGAATAGCCAGGGCCTCGGAACCCACAACTGAAGCTAGAGAATAACGACCTGATCGAATTAAGCTGGTCCCACCGTCGTGATGTGACGACACGTGTCCATTCTGTCCTTTAACCCGTAACAAATTATATTAATTACAGTTAATTATCATTAACTTTTACTTGGGACTTTCTAGGCATTGATATCTAGTATATGTACATTCATGTACACTTCTTGAACATTATTACCTCTGATCCATCCACTTCTTGCAGATATAAGAATTAGTTTAAAGACTTTATTTTAATTTTTAAATTAATTTAACAGATATTAGTATTATAATTTTTGTAAAAACGGTTCTTCTGGATGAGCACAAACTCGCATATGTTTCGAGAAGGTTTTAGTCCGAGATAATTTTCGAGGTTAAGGGATAAAATCTCATATCGAATAAAGATGAAAACATAAACTAATTTATAAGAGTTTGAGCTACTTTTTTTTTAATAAAGTTGACATTTTAAGATGAAACCCCAAATCTTAACATAATATCAAAGTCAATTAAATTTCAACGAGTAATTCAATTTGATTAAAACTCAAAAAAAAATTAAACACACGAATTTCAAAATTGATCTGTTCAAATGAGCCACCATCTTGAAAGAGCATGTTAAGAGATAAAATCACACATCAAATAAAAATGAAAATATAGACTAATTTATAAGAGTTTGGGTTACTCATCTTAATAAGATTGACCTTTTAAAAGGAAATTCCAAATATTAACACTCGAAGACTTGAATTTTGTATAAAAAATTAATAACTTTTGAGAAGAAAATTGGAATAATTTAATTTAATTTTTTTTACAGTGAAACTTAAGTTGGAGGTAAATTCAGAAATAATGTCCAACTGGAAAATTTGCCGGCTGCGGCAAGCATGCAAACCTGTAAACCGGATAATGAGCGGGCAAAAGCCTACGAGAGATCCAAAAGGCTATGTCAACTGACACGTGTCCGTCACATTCCTCCGAACCTAGCCGCAAAACCTGAATCGGCGCGGCGGTCTGTCAATACAATTAATTGGCTGCTATCGAATCCCACACCATGTCCACCAACTTTCAATGCCTTTTTTCTTTTCACAATTTTCAAGATGATATATACATACATACATGCATGTATATATATATATACACACTAGAGAGAGAGAGAAGAAAGAGATATGATATGAGCAAATATCGAAGATAGAATCCATTTTTTCATGGCAAGTTTCGCATTCAGTAAGATCATATCTTTCTTTTAACTTTCCGTTCTTTGCGATTTTTATTTTTTAGGGTTCTCAGTTTCTCATCTTCTTGTTTCTAATGATATTCTTTTGCCTTATTTTTATTTATTTTTTTGTGGGAATGTGTGTACATATATATATATATATATAGGTTTGGAAAAATTCTTGAGGTAGGTTTGGGTTAAAAAAGGACTGAAGAAAGCGTGAGACGTGGGTACTGCCTCCCTAGTGTGGAGCACTTCAATTAACCTAAAAATAATATATATATTTATATACACACAAATGTTGGCTACAAGAATTTGGAATGGAAATGTGTGTTACAGCTGAAAAATGGCATCAACGTTAATATTTAAATAAATAAATATGTTCATTTTTTTAACCGTTCAAGTTATGTCATCGTGTTAAAGATTATATCAAAGACGTGAAATCTCTGGATTAATTCAAGGTCTACGTGTTAGGCCTTTATTATTGTGAGATTGCTAAGATTATTCTACAAGAAAATTGTTGAAAAATGGAAAGCAATTGGTATAAAATACAATAGAATTTTTTGTGATTATTTCAGGTTTTGTTTTTCTTTTTTTTTTTTTAAAAAAAAGAAAACTCTGTGTGTGTGTGTTTATACTTATTTTACAGGTTAATTATTAATGGTGTTTGAAATTTGTTTGACTGGGCCTGTGAGTGGAAGACAGAAGGCACAGAAACAAAGAGTTTTCTGGGATACATGCACAGCGTCAGCTTCTCCTAGTTAGTAGCAGAGGACATGCACTGCAAAACAAATAAATTAATAAAAACTCTATTTTTTTCAAATTAATTGCGACTTCCAATTCAATGGTCAACATATTTCTGCTTGGAAAACCCCAATTAATTGTTCGATCCCATCTTTTATTCATCAACTACGTCGCCTTTGGTGTTGTTTCGAAATGAAGTAATTCTTTCTGCTTATTTTCACAGTACTTTTAATATTAATTTGGTCTAATACTTCTTTTATAATATTGCATGTCCGTACACATTTATCTTCAACACGTGCAGGTTTACTCGGGGATTCACAGACTGGTTTTTCTCAAGTAAGAGTCTCCTGTGTTTAACTATATATGATGAGTTTGATGATCTTTCATTCGTCATACTTATACTATACTGTGTTTACAATGCAAAATTTAGTTGATGAATAATTTTTGGACTGATTATTTAGAGTAAGAGATGATTTTTATGGTGTGGAATGTCAGATTTTGAGGACTTATTTTTTACACACAACGAGGAAGAGAGTTCCCATGAACCAAGTGGGGGGTTGGGGGGGGGGGGGGGGGGTTTATTGGATTCTTCCAGTTGGAATTGTGGGTTTGTCTTGAGGACCATGGTATTCTATGTTATTCCACCTCCCACTTATTTTTTATTACACGAAGCTACAGTAGAAAAATTGACCCTAATCAATGTAATTATAAGTTCTAGTTCCTTGTGCCCCAGTTCGATGAGGATTAAAATCAAATTTTTAGTAGATTTTGATAAATGTTGATGAAATATGTATTGAAAAAGTTGTTGATCCCATAAAATATATGGTTAAAATTAATTGTAAACTTAGACTTCAATTAAAATTTTAAATTTTACCGAAGAGGATTGTATTGTTTAATTCTAGTATGATGCAAAGCGTTACAAAAGATGAGGTGGTCTTATTACTTGGGGGTTAGCCTCCAAACAAATAGTGTTAGGGGTGAATTCTCAGTCACGATCCTGAATGAAATAGGGTTTGATTGTGTTTCTTCTATGAGTTAAATATGGGTGTACCTATTATGCAAGGGAATTGCTCCCTAGTCCCAACTGAATAGCGCTTGAGTGGATTTCTCAACCTAATATTGGATGATATGGTTTGATTGTGTCTTTAGATCAATTATATTTTGGGAAAGGGTGATTGCATCCTTGTAATATGCAAGGAAACCTTGGATATCAAAATAAAATGTACTATCATATTATGGCTAATACTATGTATAATTAGAATAATTTGGTTATTAATTTAAGATGTAGGGACCTGTGAGAAATCAAGATATTTAAATGGCAGCAGTACCTCTTTCCATTTTCTCCTTTTCACCTCTCCTCTTCTCTTTCTCCCTTAGTTTATTTCATTCTTCTGCTACATCACAGATTTACTAGGGAGACAGAAAGAGAGAGAGAGAGAGGTTGCATTTTTGCAGACTTTCTTCTTTAAGGTAAATATACACCAGTATAAAGAATATATTTATCTTTTTAGGAAGACTTATCTGATTTTAACTCACTTTTTTGTTTTTGTCATGTCCAGAAATTGATTGCACATTGAAACTCATCTGAAATTCCATAATAAGGGCCTCATGAATTCCAACAATTGGCTTTCTTTTCCTCTTTCTCCCTCTCACTCTTCTTTACCACCCCACCTGCAAACAGCTCAGTCTCATCAGTTTTCTTTAGGGTTAGTGAATGATAATATTGACACTCCACTTCATAACCAAGGTAAGTCCATTTCATGATCTCACATTTCTCTACTTGACAACTTACGTACTAATTAACATTTTCTTGAATAATTTTGCAGAGTGGAATTTGATTAACACTGAAGGAAACAATGAAGTACCTAAGGTTGCTGATTTCCTCGGCGTGGGAAAATTGGAAAACCATACAGAACTTGTACCCTATAACGAAATCCAGTCTAGTGGTTCCGATTACCTGTTCTCCAACAATAGCCTTGTGTCGGTGCAACATTCTATGGCGGTTGCCTTGGGCAACTATGATCTTCAAGAAAATCCTTGTAACATGCAATCATTGACACTTTCTATGGGTACTGGTAAGGGTTCAACAAGTGAAAACAGTGCCGCTGCTATTGCTGATAATAGTAATACCAGTATTGTTGAAGCTGCACCAAGGAGAACTTTGGACACTTTTGGGCAAAGAACATCGATTTATCGAGGAGTAACTAGGTGGTATTCTATAGTTGAAGAACCCTTTCATTTTTTTTTTTTGGGTAATGAAATTCTTGTATTAATTTTTTGCAAATATAGACATAGGTGGACAGGAAGATATGAGGCTCATCTATGGGACAATAGTTGCAGAAGAGAAGGCCAATCAAGAAAAGGGCGTCAAGGTAAAAAGTTATTTTTTAAAACCAAATATTTATTCTTTCTTTGCTCAAACCCTATTTCAATAGTCACTAACTTCCCTTCTCTTTTTCTTTTTAATTTTGCTTCACTGTGTCTTCCATGGCCTGCAGTGTATTTGGGTGAGTTAATTCTCGTTGTCAATTCATGGAATTTCTCTTCCTCATTCATGTTGAGTACCGTCCCATCCAAATGTCAAACACGTTAATAATGGATTTTCTTTTTCTTTTTCAAATTTGCCTTCGAAAGGTGGGTATGATAAGGAAGATAAAGCAGCCAGGGCATATGATCTTGCTGCACTGAAATACTGGGGAACATCTACTACTACCAATTTTCCGGTAAGTAATTGTTGAATTTTACGTTTTTTCAGAAATAACAAATATTAAAATAAAAATTGAGGAGATATATGACTGTTTTTTTTAGTTTTATTTTCTGTTTTTGATTTGGGAATTCGGATAAAAACAATTTATTTCCTTCGTATCCGCAGATCAATAACTATGATAAAGAAATCGAGGAGATGAAACATATGACTAGACAAGAATTTGTAGCCTCTATCAGAAGGTAACGCACCTTGTGATTGCTATCTTATTATGTTCAACTAATGTATATAGCCGCTACTGAAAATCACAAACAATTTCGACATCATATGAAACATACTCTTTTCCTAGTGATATTCCCTAATTTCTGGGTTAAAAAAATAAGTATTTTGATAATTTGTATACAGATTATTAGAGGTAAGATTATTTGATAAGATCATGACAAGAGTAAGATTTTGGCAGACTGCTATTTCGAATCTTTCTAGCCTTAGTTAATCATACAATTTCTGATCTTGAAAGTTACCTAAAATTGTTAATTATTTAATTATTATCTGTCAGTTTGGATTTTAGACTTTTACAGACTTAAATATTCAGTATTCTGCTATTGAAATTCCAGGAAGAGTAGTGGCTTCTCCAGGGGGGCATCTATGTACCGCGGTGTAACAAGGTATTTATATGTATATATCACCCACTCCTCTCACTAAACTTATTCTTTGTCTAAATTTAATGCTTATAAGCAGGCATCATCAGCAGGGAAGATGGCAAGCAAGAATAGGAAGAGTTGCTGGGAATAAAGATCTTTACTTGGGAACTTTTAGTAAGTAAAAACTTTAAGAAGTCTTAACGCAGCCTCACATGCAGACCTTATTTAACTTTTCATTGTTTTTTATAAACGAGTGGCACGGCTTAAACTTAGCATATGAATTCATGAGCTTGTTTGGGAGGGATTTTTGGGGGAAGAATTGATTTTGAATAGTGATATGATGGGAAATATGTGGTTGAAAAAGGTCAAAAAAATTATTGATGTGATGGAAAATATTATTTTATTGAAGAATGTGTGATTGAAAATGAAAATTGATTTACTGTAGAAAAATCTAAATCACTCCCAAACAGGACCATAATATATGCTTGATCAATGATATAGTACGTCGCATATCTAATTAATTTGCTCAAAATATGAATGTAGGCACTGAGGAGGAAGCAGCAGAAGCATATGATGTAGCAGCCATAAAGTTCAGAGGCCTAAATGCAGTCACAAACTTCGACATGAATCGATATGACGTAAAGGCCATTCTCGATAGCAACACTCTTCCAATAGGTGGAGGGGCAGCCAAACGCCTCAAGGAAGCTCAAGCAATCGAATCATCAAGAAAACACGAAGAAATGATAAGTTTAGGTTCAAATTTTCAGTATGGCAGTTCAAGTTCAATCCCTCTAGCATACCCTCTAATGCAGCAGCCCTTTGATCATACACAGCCTTTACTCGCACTACAAAATCAAGATCTTTCACCGTACAATACAAATCAAGACTCTCACTATCAGAATTACATTCAAACACAGCTTCAATTACACCAACAATCAAGTTCTTACAACACTCAGTTTTACAACAATTCCCTCCAGAACAATCCAGTTTTGCTGCATGGGTTGATGAACATGGGGTCTTCTTCTGTTATGGATACTAATTGCAGTTCTACTGGAAGTTACAATGGAGGCTACCTCGGGATGGCGTCGAATTCTACCCCGGGCAATGTAAGTGGATCAGCTGAAGAACTGGCACTGATGAAAGTGGATTATGACATGCCTTCTGCAAATTATGCTGGATGGTCTGGAGATTCAGCGCAGGGATCAAATCCTGGTGATTTCACAATGTGGAATGATTGAAATTTTAGATGTCTTACTGGATTGGAGAACTTAAAAGTTATTTAAGAAAAAAACTGCAAATTTACTTTTGATAATTTTGTTACTAGAATCAAAAGTATGACAGGAATACGGCAGTATTATGCATTGTTTGCTGAGTGTTTTTTAATGCAATTAATGAAATATATTTTTTCTCTCTCAATTTTGTTATTAAACATGATGAGATGTAAGAATTGTTGAAAATGAAGTAGACAATAATACAAAATTTAGATGGTTCAGTGCTAAATATCTGCAGCAATCACTGGTACAGAATAAAATCATATCAGACTGAATAAGTAGGGCCAAACGACATGTGAAAATGAAATGGCTCATTTCCTTTCTTCTTGATATCAATTTTAACACTCTCCTCAAGCTGGAGCATGAAAACCCGAAATGCCCAGCTTGTGAACATGATAGTGAAAGAGCGTCCTTCCCAAAAGTTTTGTGAACATATCCACAACTTGAAGGTGTGACAGCATAAAGTGTGTTTGTACCTGTCCAGATTAAATTCTCTCTCTTGAAGGTGTGACGGCATAAACACTTGTTTGTAACTATGTGCAGGGCTGCCTGATTACTATGCATTTTTTCTGCTCCAAAATGTGTCAGCCAACTAAATTCACAAGTAACAAAGGCCATAACTCTATATTCTGCTTGTAGAGATTAGAAGCCACTAATCAGTTGTATAAACTCAAGAACAACAAAAGTAATGCACAAGAAAAATAAGAAACAGTAAAAGAACACAAGATTTTTCGCCCTAAGACAAGATGTTTGGAATAAATCCTACTCCCCTTTTGAGCTTCCGCCAATCGGAAGAAATCACTATATAAAACCAAGGATCAAAGCCAGTTCATCGTTACACAAAGGCACTCAGACAAAATCACTCAAGATTTCCTCAAAGTAAAGAATCCCTCACAAATCGACACTGAATCCACACAAGGATATAAATCAGCCTTGCTACAAGTCACTCAAGAGATGTATACAAGCTAAACCACAATCGATTTACAGGAGAATCAGTTTTAGAGTGCAAAGGAAGAATGGCGTGAACAGAGAGCAGAGAGAGACCAAGAGACTGAATCGAATGAGAGAATGAATCGACCAAAAGATCTCAAACCCTAGTCATAGAGAAGTCTCC